AGGCAATTGCGTGGGACATCCTTGTGGTCAGCGAGGTCGCCAAATTTGGACATGTTATCCACATGACTACCATCGTATGACGCTCTTTGAAATCTTTGCGGAAAGAGCTTACCCGATTGTACGTCAACATTCTTTTGCACTATACATGCTATGTTTTTGCGTATATATATATTTGGAGTCCAGTACAACAGAGTAATGGACATGTCTTCAGGTTTAAAGTCAAACCAGAAGTTGATCGTACTGAAGCATGGTTTGGGCAGCTTTCTGCCTCGGTAAACATACTTGGCTTATGCTAAGTGTATTATTTGGTAATCTTTGATTAAACCATTAATGTAATGTTGCTCACATATTATGGTCATGTTGTTTGGGGCCTTGACAGTGGGTACAACTACAAAATGTTCATATAGATTTGTCACACGTTGGATGACAGCTGTCTGGGACAGGCGGTTCTTCCAATTCTGTTTCCTCCTATTCTCTTTGTGCATTCCAGCACATGAATGACGTCACGTACTGACTTCACTCACCCCGAAAGATATTCAACACGTTGATCTTCTCTATTGGCCCACTTTGTGGACATATGCTTCCATATTGTTTTTATTGTTCCAAGGTTGTAATTGTCTACAATAGAGATTATATCGCCTGTGATTAAATGACCAACAGATTGGTAGCAGTATGATGAGCTATGCAGCCACAAGTGGTGGAGTTTATTGTGTCAACGTTCTACACAACATTCTGAACGACTTGGATGATATGTGTGTCATTTTGGGATTTTCATTTTTCTCTGATAATGTTACTTTAAAAGCAAAAACAGAACGGAATTACATATGTTCTTACATATGATCTCATAATCAGACATTGTGCCTGGGCATTTTTACACTGTACATTTCATGTCCTTGCGTTAGCTTAAGCACTCAGGATACCTCTGACAATGCTCCTCCGTGCTTCCATTTATTTTCCTTTGACATTTCTCACCATCTATTTTTAAGTTTGCTTCATGTTATCACATTTCAACCCACACGAGATGTAGGATTACACTCACGTGTTCTTGGTCATGGCAGTGTAGGTATAATGTAATGTTGATATCTATCTCTGGTAATGAATTTTGTACAGATATCATTTATCTGAACAATCAGCTCTCTGAGCACAGAATGATATCTTCAGTGACAAGGTGGATGTATATGTCGTACCATGAAACAAGAGAGTGATATGTGAAACACCGCTACATTAAACGCGCACTGTATCTTGTTGGAAACGGAGATGAGATCAGTTTGGAAGTTAAATCACAGACGGAGGTCTCACAAGAATAAATTTAGGAAAATTATGTCTTACCACACATCCTTACCTGGACAATATAGCATTTGCTAGATAAATGATTGCAATGGGTATTCGGAATTATAAACGTAACACGAAAGATAGCACAACACGTGTAGAAGCGATGCATCATTTGCATTATGGCCTTATTGTTGGAACAAAGAGAAACACAGATTCGGGTCGTTAATACCTGGGAGCAATTGAGTCAAGATGACATTAGAGGACCTACAAATGTGACAGATCTTAGATATTATTTTAACTTTTTAGCTGAAATTATTGATCGTTTAATGAAACCTTTACGGTTGTTTACGCAGTAACCTGTTCTGCGTATGTGAACAATTAGTTCTCAATTACGACAAACATGCACAGTATTATTAGCTGAATTGTTGGCTGTCAAGTTCTAGTTTTACCTTTATCATCAACAAAATGCACAGTACTGTGTAGCGTACAGAGATAAGATCATGTCTATATCAAAATCAGTAATGAAGATCTGAAAACGTCTGAGCGAAATTAGGACTTAATTAAAATGAATTATCTTTGCACTGCTTTCCTAACAATTTGCACATTTTCAGCTTCTCGTGCAACATGTTCGTGCAAATCCCAAGAGTTATAACCGTCATTAATTATCGTGGTGTTAGCTATTTTTCAGAGGGAAAGAACATAGGATTGGTCCAACACACCTGTGAACAACCACTTCAGCATGTCAACATTTCTTTTGCCAAGTTTTTATTCAGGTAATTCATTTCTCTTCTAACCGCTACATAATTTGCCAATGATTGACGTATCTGAAGAAGGTGTAACCCCTTTACAATCAATGAATAACGTCAACGTCCAAACACTATGCGACACATTAGACGCCACTTATGATGAACTGAAAAAGTTACATTAAAGACACGAGGAAACGGATGTACACAACCTGACATACTGGTGTCGAGTGTGAAGATCAGTGTTACTTATTTACTTGCTCGACGGATCCCTAAACTGCAGGTCATTTGATACAAAATTTATGTGAAATCAATATTGTTAAGAAGAGCACTGACGATGAGTCTTCTTTTACAACAATTGATCACGAAGTTCCCGAATATTGTGAAATATCAACTGAAACAAATTTGTTTCGCCACATTTAACGGGTTTGATTACTGGAGCTGAAAGTTGTTCTCATTATATACCATGCTAATCATGTCATCGTTCAACACAACAATGCTATACGTCATACAGCAGTATTCCTTAGGAACCGAAATGCACAGGTGCTTTGCAAAATTATCATTGACATGTATTGCTGGATACAATGATTTACTCCTTTGCCCGAGTCAAAGATACTTTAATGAGAGACAGCCTATGCATATACTCTGTGACATGAATACCGTCGCTGTTACCTGCTCATAAATGTATTCTTTGTCACCCTTTAACCTTCTTGTTAAGGAGAAGACCCTTTTTTCTGATTCCAGTAGACAAGCATACACTGTGAACCTTCTCCAAAAATTTCTCAATTTGTCTTTATCGCAGACGAATCAGAACACCATTTCAAAAGATGTTCCCAATGCTCATACATGAAACAGATTGACTGGGTGATAGTTTAATCTGATCTTGGATCAGTCATATGTTGTAGTACACAATATGATGTGCTGGTAGATATGCACTGACTGGTTCAAGATCTGGAGGCGCGCACCAGACACCACTCATTGTGTTTGAGAATTCACGTTTACATGTGATAAAGGAACAGGCAATGAGTGACATTATTAACAAAAGATGTTCCCAATGCTCATACATTAACACTTCGGTGGCACACGTCAAAAAGAATTTGTTTTAAAATTTCGCGGATAGACTTTCGCGGATAGACTTGTTTGTCGCCATGTATCTCCACCAAAGGTCATCCCTCATTACTTGAGTAACTTCAACCAAACGCAAGTGTGAAAACGTGAGCGTTTATTTGCACTCCCAATTCATGGAATGCCAAGTGTTAAGTGGCGATTCCCAAATTGAAACAATATGTTAACCCAGAAATCTGTACCTATACCATTGTATGAATTTAGTGTGAAACCAACAAACAACAAACAAATGGTCTACAATCAACAATGTGTTAAAATATTCACTAGGTTTACAAATTAGAACAAATTACTGCAAAACAATTACAATGGCAGAACACAATAGAATGGTAGTACAATATCCAATGGCAGAATATTTTAATATGATGACAGTGGTCAGTATCAAATACAAAAATACGGTGGTGATAGCAAAAGTTAGTTAAAATAATATATTCACCCTGCGGCGACAACGGTCAGTCTTCCGGGGAAGACCAAGGCAGGGAATCCGGAGTTATGAGTGATCTTCACACGAAAGCTGGTCTTGCTGTCATGAAATGTGTTAGAGATACAAGAGGCATGCTCTTGTCCCTTCTATACAGTCTAACTAGCTTCTGGAAATTTAAACACAGTGCCATCACAGATTTTTCCACATGTTTCTATAACTCTCTATCTCAGTCCACGGTAATCCGGAAGTACACACATCACACTAGCATCTAAATATTGTACCTTCCTCACCAATGCTTACATTAAACAGAACTACATTCCTGACAACTAATCATTGTCCAAATATAATGCAATGAGTTTCTTACGAATCTCAACAGAAACAATAGGTTGTTATGTCCACGCTCGATCATTTACAGTCTGCCGTCATATATATATATATATATATATATATATATATATATATATATATATATATTGACAATTGCTAAGTGGAGCGTTAAACAACAAAAAACAAACACATCCTGATGGCGTTATGCGAAGGCGTGAAGTGTGAATTTTGAAGATATAAAAAAAAATCAATGTGTGATTTTATCTGAATATGAACGGGTTAGCCCATTCAACAGTAAATGATCTCCGTTGCAAGATTGCAAAAATAGTATCTGGCGAAACTTTTAAAGGAGTTCGACCGACTAGGATTTGGTATCGAGATTAGATGTTTGCAGGTACAGCTACATCCCTTCCTTCACAATAAACGCAAGTGTTGATAAGCTAAAACCACGAATAATAGTCTCAGAGAAATAGATTTCTACCCGTGATCTGGTGTGGGAAATAAACCTGTGTACACAACATGTGTTGCGGAAGGGATACCTGCATCGGGGTTACTGTGTGCACTTCCTTTCACTAGTAATTAATACCAGTTAAATATTACAGAGGAACATTCTCAAAGTAGTTTTGAACGCACAAAATGTTCGATACAAACACATTTGATCTTCGAACGAATTCGGACCAGAAGTAAATATAAATTTTTTAAAATAAACACTCCCATTGATGTTTTCATGCAAAATGAACATATAAATAATAACCCATGATTTCGAACACGAAGAAAATGAGAGGAACAATGAGCAATACCAGCTGTTTCTAGTATAATTAAGAAACTATTAGTCCTGCACCAAGACTGTGAAATATATGTATTTTATGAATCCAAAACCAATCTAGATTATAAAGCAAGTCTTGCCAACTCTGTCCCACTGAAACTAGCATCAGAAAAAAACAGACGAAAAATGTATTGTGTGATAAAGGACTATATTTTAGTCTACGGAACTGGATGCCCAGTGTGTTCTGTTTTCCCCTTGGCTCGTCTCGCTCGCTCTCATACCCACTACAGATCATTACATCATCACCAGCGCACTGTGTCTCTACTTCCCCACTACAGTTACCGCTGCAGCTCCCAGCTCTTATCCAGTGCTTCAGTCAGGCGCCTTCTCTGAGTCTCTGGGAGTATATAACATGCCATCAGCATCTCCCGGCACCAGTCGGGTTGAAGCAATGTATACGTGACATTGACCGCCCATGAATGAAATATCGCACTCAGGCGTACAACTCGTAGTGGAAACGTGCGTATGGATATTGGATGTGTTGATGTAGCTCTGACTCCGGATTAATGTTTAGAAACTGCGAGTGTTTGTTTGTAGTGTTTTGAAATAGATCTCGGAGGACGAAATTAAATAACCTTCACTGTGGATAAAACGTTCCCTATCAGGCAGATGGTAGAAGACAGAGAATTTGTCAGTTCGGTCAAGTGGTTGTACTCTCCTTACATTCGCCAAATCTATTTGGTTAATGTATGTGATACACATTGATGTTTGTCATGGACATCAAGAGTGAATTCCGGGTTTGCAACTTTGGTCTGAACCACAATGAACCTCAAAGATTTGTCACATCACAGGTAAGAATATTTATTGTTTAATTAGTTCTGGTGATTCCTTTGATATAATTCATAATTACATGACACATAATCTGCTGTACTATTCAATGCTTTGAAGCGAACTCGATACTATTCTGGATAGATAGGTGGCACGGGTGGTTTAGGATTTACAGCGGCGTTTAAGCCGATTCACTCTGAATATATATGTCATACATTATACTGAACGATGAGTCATGATTGATGATGATATGAATGTCATATCAGTGACTTCTTGATAATACGAAGTCATCGGACCAAGTTGGGCTACCCGATGTTCGAGACAAGCGAGATTCCAATACATAATCCAGTGACCGATAAGGCCCATGCCGAGGTCATAAGTTGAATGTGACATTGTCTTAACAATGTATTGTTTTCGAGAGTTCAAGTTACATTTTGGAAGATTTACAACTGCACGGGGAAATTAGGCTAAATTTAACGCACCAACGTTTGAGGAATACCTGGAAGCAATTCATACCTGAATGTGTATATTCCTATTGCAAGCGGAATTATATACTCGACCAAGCTTTCAAAAACCTTTTCAAAAATATTATCCATGTTAACATAGTGCCTTGATATAAAGTCAGAACTGCATAATACGTTATGGTTAATAGAGCGTATGCAAAAAGGTACATGTACATGTTTAGGATATTGACTGTCTAGCTGTTCACTCCATTGGTGAAGGCGCCTCTAACTGCCTTACGATACTGTAACATATGTGCACTGTTAAACTGTCACCGTCTGTGTACGTCATTTGCTATCAGTTCGTGGTGGACTGCACTTCTCATGGTATCCTGCAATTAACCTAATGTTTGAATAACAAGTTCAGAGTCCTGAAGCTGTGGTGCTGCCCCATGTTTACACCTGCTTTTTGTCACAGAATACTCAAATGCGGTATTAGTAATACTAAAATAGGATTTATAAGATACTTATGTTTCCACACTCGTATCCGTGTATTAGTTTCAGTGTGAAATACTTGTGAGATGATGCAACGACTGTAGATTTTTATCCGCCTAACATTCTTTCGTTGCGAACAAAAAGCCCGCAAGAGATGATTTGTTTTATTTGTTGTTGTTTAACGCCGCACTCAGCAATATTCCAGCTATATGACGGCGGTCTGAAAATAATTCGCTGTGCAGAGTTGCGTCTCTTGGACACGCCAGAACCTAGGATCGTGGGATTGAATTTCGGTTCGCCCCGATTATATGTCTAGGTTTGTCAGCCCCATACCCGTGCTCGTGGGTTTCACCAAAAGTGGTGAACGTCTAAGACCTGCATCAGTCTGGGCTTTCGTACCACATTAAGCTGACCCGCTGTGATATAACTCGAATACTGTTAAAGGCTGCGTTGAACCCAATTCACTCACTCACTTAAAATGCATACAACGTTACAGTTTTATAGTGGTATTTTTTTAAATATCTTTTCGTAAACCTCATTCGCAACTGATATACATTTCAGCCTAGCCTGCCTGATGTTTGGATGTTGAAATAATAATGCTTCGAGATGTCACAAGCTGGAGGGTGATAGTTGTACACTTCCGTTTCAGTGGGGCCACCCTCGTCTCTACCTGTCCTGGAGGATATTCTGGGCTCTGTTTCATACATCGTGGCTGGTCATTAGCATGGTGTCTTCGACCAAAGTGACGTCATCACCGCTAGGTGGCGCTGTGTGGTTCATCTACCTCACGAACTGGACCTACCTCCTGCTGACCACGAGTACTGTCCTGGACGCAGTCACCGTGGTGTTCGTCAGGATCAACAGACAGGAAATTATACATGGTAAAAGATAATTAAGTATTAATCATTATAAATAATTATATATCCCACTGACATATTAGGACGGGTCCTAGTCATTACAAACAACTATGTACCAATATCTGAGTGCGCGAACAGTTTTTTTCAGTTGTAGCTTGTCTGTTAAGCTGTATTTCTGAGGGACGTCCACCCTGACGCTAAAGTATACCGTCCATGACACCAATTTGCACGAGTATGGTGAGGACAGACTAATGATGATAATCATGTCAAACTGGGGATTCGAACCCACGACCAGCGAATACTGGCGCGACTCTTCACGGTTAATTGTGTCGCCTTAGACCACAAAATGTCCTCAAAAAATCGAAACGACCGTCCAATCGACTTATTTTACAAAAACAAACAAAAGCGATTACACAGCGCGGAGGTTCGTCAGGTCGAAGTTTATTTTATATTATATAAAATTGTTTGCCTTTGTAGGCGTATATACATGTACTTAAACACTGGGATGCATACTGCGTAAATAGACAGCTTATTTAATCATTAATACACAAACAAATATAGACAACAATACGAAATCAGTGACATCATGCAATAATGCAACACAACCCACGCAAATTCAAGATAGTAATTCCGTTAGCGGGCGTGACTGTTCATGGAAACGTAAACTCAAAAACGATTGCTTGGTTGGCCAATCACAAACCCCGGAATCACGCGTACTTTATATATTTCTCTTCATAGGTAATTCAAATTAGACACTTACAAGATATGTCCTACTTCAGGTTTCACGTCACATCTACCCTGGCACCTGAAAACATCATGGCTCCTCAACAGTGTCGTCACTGAAGGGAGTTTACACATTAGCGCCATCTACTGGATCTTCATTTTCAAGGGTATGTGTTTGCAGAAATTCGAATATGTACCTCATGTGAATCCAGTTATACAATGTAAATGGGCTTCCGTCGACTAGTTAATTTAATTTGAGCATCATGTGTCAGGAAAACAAAAAACCTGGTTATTGTGAATGGCTTAAGTGGGATCAATCTTGTATTCGTATAACCGTTATTTCATTCGCCTTTTCAGATCAAAGTCTGACACTACTGAGATTCATCCTCCACGGTATGAACTCCATCTACGTCTTGTCCAACCTCTTCATAACCGCCATGCCAGTACGTGTGTATCACGTGATCTACCCAGTTATCTATGGCGTCATCTACACAGTATTCAGTGTCGTTTATCACATACTTGGTGGGACCAATGATAAGGGAGAAAGGTACATCTACAAGATTCTTGATTGGTCCAACTTGAAGCGGACTCTACCTCTCGTGTTTCTGAGTACATTTGTGGCTCTACCATGTTTGTATTTAGTTGTCTTCTTTATACACAAACTGAGGGTATACATGCATTCAAAATGTCTGACAAACAGCGAGGATACACGATTTCTTGATTCGTCGACTGAAAAAAGCGATAGTGAATGTGCACGTGTTTGAACATGTACAATACGGCTGGAAAAGACAAAGTTACACACTTAAGACTCGGAGGATTAAAATGCTTGCTCGTTTAGAAGCGTGTCTCTTTGTGAGTGTATTATAATGTATTAAAAGCTTAAAACAACCCACCTCGTGGCATATAGTTATATTGCAGAAATATTAATTTATTGATTTTTTCACCTTTGCATTATTATGTATCAGTGACACACGCAGATGTTCTCCATTGTAGAACTCTGCACCAGTGTGACATGTCTCCATTGACTGAATTAAGTATGCATCAGTGATGCACAAATTTTCGCCACTGAATAACTCAGCATCCGTGTCACTAAGCTGATGTCCACTGCATACCCCTGCATCCCTGTCATGTGTCTCTCTCCATTGAGTGACTGTTGTATGCACCAGTGATGCACAACCTTACGCCACTGAATCACTCAGTCACAATATCACTAAGCTGGTGTCCATTGTGTAACTGTTCACGAATGTGCCTGCGTTACCTGCAACGGTTCTCCTTTGAATAATTAAAGTATGCATCAATGTGAATCAGTTGCCTATGAGCGTGTAAGTAACAAGATCGAAGGTCAAAGGATGTGCACGAACGTTCAGCTTGCAAAGTCCCGTATATCTTCTAAAGCGTTTAAAACTTACACAGGAAGTGCAACTACTTTAAATTCGGAAAAAGGTCCATAGCCGCATATGTCTACAGGCACATACATGTAAAAAACTATCGTTCTCGCTAAACTGATTCGCCGTTTATATCACGAATGTTGCCTACACTACACTACGCCCGTCATACACATTTTTGGAAAAATAACATTATACTATTTATTTAAATAATAATAATTATCCCAATTGTCCATATCAATTCTGACTCAATCCCCAACGGACACGGGTGACACCATGTTAATTTGTACCTAAGTGACCTTTATTATGTCCATATTAATCGGTAAATAACCGCAACGGATACCGTTTTTATCAATTGACTTTATCCTGCCGATAAACTTATAAACCCATTATATGATAAAAAAAAAGAAGTTATATCGCTGAAAGAGATTTTGAGTATTACAGATATATAGTGCATCGTTCACTTGAGTTTGAGATATCAATTTATAGGCCGTTAAAGACGCAAGTTCGACTCACCACATTCTGTCGAAATAGTGAAGCAACTATTTGTTTCCACAGCCATGACAGTGCAGCAGCGGTGGTTTTAAAAAGACGAATAACAAAAAACACTCACCCACAAGCCTAATATTACCGTTCTTGTCGTTCTAATGACATGTTGAGTTATGTATGAGATTGTCATTGTGTCGGTGCTTCAACACGCAAGGCTAGTTAACGCACTGCGTTATACAGGCGGAAGTAACACTACACCCCTACATATGCTAGGCAATCAGCACAACCACATTGAAGAAACGGTCTATCTGTTACTTTCAATGACAGAAAGGTCTTTAGTGACATTGTGCTTCGTTCAAAGCAATGTTTGCTGAATACTGTTATGTACGGAATGGGCGTTAATAAGGGTGACGAATTATTTGGTTGTTTTGTAATGACTTCTCGCTATTCCTAATGATATCCTATCCGCCTTTGTCACACGAAGGTATGTTTCACTATGTTTGGATGCATTCCGTAGATGTCTCTGACAAACGACGGGCGTTCAATAAGTTTTGCAACTCCAATAAAAGACCAAGTCGCAGAATATCTTTTGCACTTTTTTATTGAAGTTGCAAAACGTATTGAACGCCCCTCGTATATCAAAAAGTGGGAATAAGAAGGGAATGGGATGTAGCTGGTAGCGACATTCCTGCTACGGCTATACGGTGGTTGATAGACTAACATCTAGTCTCTGAAATGAACATATCGTGCCCCAAAAAATAGTTGTGAAATTATCTTAATAAAAATGTAATAAAAAGGAACCGAGAGAAGGAACCCATTTCATGATACCGCAGAAATCTAGACTTGCCAAACATTATAGACTTGCATGGTCTGTATTTGATAAATTTGTATCAGGGTCTGTAAGACAGACTAGGTGGTTGAGGAAGCGCCTGGTGATGAACGTGTAAGTGGTAGGTGATGGTTGTATACCAGTCCAATGATTTTATGGATGTGTGCGTTTCGTCATTCTTTCTGCAAATGTATCACTCTGTTATCTGTTGTTCTGTTATCACGCGGGAAGAACGGATAAGGCTCACTAACATACACCAGACTCTGTCGACGACGACACCAACATCTCGCTTTATCATACAGCTTTATCTTTATCAGGCCGGCTATAGTGATAAGTGACAACGGACGAAGTCCTATCTATTCCTCTATTCATTGCACTGACAGTGCGGCCCCGGCTTGGTGAACTTTATGGCGTAACCAGAACCGCCGTAACGTTGGTGGCCTCAGTTAACCGAAGTGTATAACACCTGGACGTCAGTCACGTTGATGTAGTCTAACGGTTGTTACTGATATCAAAACACATTGCATACACATATATGCTTTGCAAGAAGCATACAGAAAAGCTGAATACTATTAGTCCGGAAATCGCGCGAATAAGAAAATCCTTCCTCAACGACTCTGTACATGCAGTTGATATTACTTTGTAACAGTCACTTTGTAATCCGGAAACGATTTCACCGGGAACAGTATAATGTAAGTTAAAAAGGGGTTTCACTTTAGTTTCGTTTGCAATCACATCAGGCCAATATAATCCATACAGACCAAACCACCATCCTGACTAAACCAGCCCGCATTGCATACATACAATTGTGTAATGATACAGTAACTATACGTTTATGCATCGCAATGCCTGTAGAACCTACTTGCCTGACAGTTTACAACATGGGTAACTAGTCCCAACCCCCTCACTCTCCCACCCCCACTCACCCTCCTCCAATCTATCACCGTTTTTTATGTGGCCCGGGCTATACAAGCAATCAGAGCACGCCTATAAATATGTCACTGTGGCTGTGTGTGAATGATGGAAATTCACATGAGGCAATATGTTTGTTGTCGGCTTTTATAAACGTGTACAACCCTTCAGTGGTGGTATGCTGACAGGGAACGAAGGGGGAATGCCATTGAAAGTAAAGCAGAACACACATAAGGTGATCACAACACTATGACGACAGCTGCAGAACATTTCTAACAAGCAAATCCAACAATTTCAATACTGTCTCAAATCTGCAAACTGTTAATGAAATTTACGTCTTCTGAAGCTTACAACATGCAGGTCTTCGCTTCTCGGTTATGGGTCCTGAGTGAGTGAGTGAGTGAGTGAGTGAGTGTGTGTGAGTGAGTGAGTGAGTGAGTGAGTGAGTGAGTGAGTGAGTGGGTTTGGGTGGGTGGGTGGGTGGGTGAGTGTGTGTGAGTGAGTGAGTGAGTGAGTGAGTGAGTGAGTGAGTGAGTGAGTGAGTGAGTGAGTGAGTGAGTGAGTGAGTTTCCTAGCGTGGTCAGTGGAGGTCTGTATATAATCGAGTTTTCGCAAGGCAAATTAATGGGTAACAGCATGAGCATCGATCCATGCCGTCGGCTCAAGATGACATTCAATCAGCCAGGTCACACATTTACATGATCACAGGATCGTCATTATAGTCAGTTCCTGCCACAAGCACGACTTATGGGGATGAAAGTATTGTTGTTACTATCCCGTGTTGCATGTCACCTGTTACATGTCAGGACAGCGCATATCTAAATGAGGCTGAGTGAACGCAGCACTTTTTCTATACGTGGAAGGTAAAAGTTACCTTCATTAAATTCCATGTCCGTTGCTATTCGTTATCACTACACCACAGGTGAGTCGAATAGTGATCTCAACGTAGGCTCCATAACAACATAGGCAGATCCAGAGGGGGGTCCAGGGGGTCCGACTTTTCAAAAATGCTGGATCCGCCCTTGGACTATAATGTGTTACAGGTGTGATCAGTGTCATTGCATACCTGTGTCAAGCAGTCGTTTAGTCCAGATCCGATTAGTTGCCATCAGTCATGACATAGCTGTGACAAATAGAGAATCTCACCAGCGTGTCTTTTGATATCAAATATATCAACACGAGTTGATGAAAGTGGAAAAACTCCGAGGCTTGCTTTTTGTCAAGGAGTGTTGATATATTTGATATCAAAAGACACGAGGGTGAGATTTAATTTATCATGCAACATCATTCTTCCAACTTTTTCAGTTTGTAGACAGTAATAAGCAGTGTCTTGAGTGTAAAAATTACTGCTAACAGCCTCAGTAGCAAAGCCATTAGTGATGTCATTGGATTGTGACGTCATGGTATCCAATGACGTCACAATGGTCTGCAAAGCATTATGATGCAATTTCATTGCAGCCGCTTGATCTCACCCAAATGTTATCTCCCGTGGGGGCCAGTTAGGATGATAAAGACGTGATACAGCTGTTAAAAATGTGTGATATAGTAGTTTTATATATGTGATATAGCTACGATACAACTATGATAACCACGTGATACTGCTGTTATTTATATGTGATATAGCTGCATTTGGCTCACTGTACATGTGTTGACGTAGACGAAGAATAAAAGTCTAACGCCAAGATTCCGGCGATCGAAGCGATGTTCTCCAATATGTCCTACTTGTATCACAATCCTATCTTGTAGATGCACGACTTTATCCCAAAAATAGCTCATAGCTTTATGATCGGAGAACATGGTTGTGGAACGACACAGGTGAAGTACAACGATAGATACTGACGACTATCAGATACAACCGATGGTGCCATCAGGCACATCAGTTGTATTGTAGGACTTCCGTTATATTTTAATTATTGTTTTATCAGGGATGCCATCATGTCATGCTGAACACGTGGTTGATGCTTAATCACAATCGTCGAGTTCCTATTCCACACCCCTGATGCATGATTGATCAGGTAGGTTGTTTAATGGCTGATAAACTAACGTACAGGCCATAGAAATATACAACTTATTGTCAGATAAACAGTGATGTACGACGAATTACCGTCTCTACTGTAAGCGTATACCACCGATTTAGCATTGTGGAGATGTTTCCCCTTATCTACACAGTTTGCATTCTCGATATTATCATCTACACGTAGGTTACCTGTATACATACACGCCGCAAGACAGGAAGCAGTTGGGGAGAAAGCAGTATATGCCTTTGAGATAAAATCACAAGATGTGCAACGTGGCGAACCTTGTCCGTGTTTCATCCCTCAGCATAAAACGAGAGTCTATCAAACAGATGTTACATGTGCAGGGCCATGGTCTTCTGTTATGGCAGAGTTGATATTGCGTAACCGGGTCAGACAAAGAGTAATAAAGGGATATTCATTTGCATGTCGTTACACTTACATAATCATAATAATAAAAGAGGCACAACTCTTTCCATAACCAGAAAGAATCTCTGCTAAACACAGTCCGATTGTGCGATTCTGACTGTATCACAAACATATGTTTATAAATCACTATCAAACAGTGTTACCATATCCTGCTGCACCTGAGGCATCCGTCACGTCAAAGGCGTTAAAGAGAATATTCAAAACACTACTTCATCCATATTTGTTCTTCCACTGATATGTGTACGCCAATACGCATGCGATTCTTAAATGGAGTGTTTGTGGGCGAAAACCTGCAACAACGGTACATGTACATGTATACCCTGACTTTCTTTTTGGCGACGGCATGCGCGTGAGGTCATGAAGCCGGCTTCAGCACACAGCTGGAGCCGAGTGGACCTCCCGAGTCGCAGGTTTGTTTAAGAGTATTTGTAAAAGAAATTGCCAACACTTTTTATCACCCTGAACTGCGCTATGAAGTAGGTGATAAGTGTTTCAGGAGTTTTATCATATCATTGCGGAAATAATCTCTTTACATAATTTTCAAAAGATTTTTGTAAGAAGTCGTAGATAGTACAATATCTTTTTATACAGTAGGCTGTATTGTGCCATTGAATATTTCTGTGTATGATAGCAACATGTTTAAAATTAGCGTATCTGCTGGGTGCGTATAAGACTTTGCCCTCTGTAAACAAGCACTATAATATATGCTATCAACAGGTCTCGAACTGATCTTTAGAAATGGCTCACTTATGACCTACAGTTTTAGGTTGTCCTTCAATGTCGCTTCCGGTGACAATTGATCCCCAGATCCATATATTTGTCACAAGAGCCGACCAATTTGGATCAGATCGTGAGACCTAACCAACTGCTTGTCATGGTGTCCCATTGACGTGGATAGCTGTTCTTGCCAGCTAGTACTGGTTGCCTCACTCAGACTATTTATAGGCCAACGTGCTATTCGAGATGTTTTATTGATGACCGTGAGGTAAACTGTGATTCACAGTCTGTTATACTGTAAACTTGGTATGTGTGTTTTGATCAACCTCTAATTATTGCATAACCTCCTCCGTTATCTAGTGGTAGAACGCCTGCCCTCTGCGCGGAAGGTTGGCGTCATACCAAAAACGTAAAACGATGACACTTGTTGTTACCTTGCCTGACATTTGGCATTTAGGGGATAACATAAGGACTGGTCGATGCGGAGTCGGTATACTGTGTCTGAATGGGACATCCATGTAAAACTGTAACATGTATCTCAATGGGCTAGCACCATAAAACCGTATTAGTACAGACTTGTACAAGCAGAGACACACACATACGCAGGTACCGGCACACGCACGCACGCTCTATCTCTCTCTCTCTCTCTCTCTCTCTCTCTCTCTCACACACACACACACACACACACACACACACACACACACACACACGCATGTATAAGTCCAATCGTCTTGAAGGCGACGTAAAACCCCATTTCCAATCACCTCACCTCAAATATTGCATCACTACAGTGTAATTATCACAAAGATTGGAAGACACAAGGGTGAATGTCAAGTGCGTATTACTTATGTTACGAGTATGTCGTGGAGAATTCGTGAGTTGTTAGAATTGTAAAATAATATGAGTGTGATGTGGGCTCAACACCTTTGATCGCTGTAAGGTTTTCAGTGGTATCACGGCCTGTCAGCTTAATGTGGGAGGACAGCCCAGAGTGATGCAGATCGTACACGTTTATCACTTCAGTGACACCAGGGATTAAAATTTGTCGAAAACGTGATCCGATTTCATTTGTGAGTGAGTTAGTGAGTATGGTTTCAGGCCGCTTTCAGCCATATTCCAGCAATATCATAGCGGGGGACACCAGACATGGCCTTCACACATTGTACCTACATGTATGTGTCGATTTGATTAAACATAGGTGTCACGGGAGAATAGTCTGATACGATCAACCACCCGGCAAGTTTGACAACAAACATAACTGTTCTTTATAAACCAAATGTATGGTAGTCATTCACAGGGCATTGACCATTCCCACGAGCAGGGATGTGATGCTGACAAACTAAGAATAATGTACAAGGCGAATATAGGATTCTGGCACGCCTCGCGAACACTACTCAGCGAATGGCGAGCCTTGCGCGACTGGAAAAGCCGTATCCCTAGAAATACTCTGAAAGAACCGGGGTACTAAAGTTCATGTTTAATGGATGATCGTTGTTGTTACTGATCACATTCCCACACTACCTAGTTTGATTCACTTTGTGTATATTCTGAGATTAGTGTATGACACGTTTTCATTGATAGTAAGTACATGTAACACAAACGTAAAACATACAATGGTATGCAGTTGTAAACGCCAACGTTACAATACTAAGTTCGGGTGATGTAGTTTGAGTTTGATTAAAGAACTATCTCTGAACAAACAGGCTTATCAACAATCACATTCTTACTTCTTTAAGCATATTGTGTAAGTGGCGTGGGCTCCCCGATAGACAGGACATGTTTACACTTTTCTCGAACACCTGGTACCATCACTGATTCTTAATGATCCCTTCAGATATTTTCCCCCGGTATTTTCTCTTTTTACGCCCAACAGAATCTCTTCAACGGACATTCGAGACTGGTTATTCTCTAGCATTGACGTTTATAGTTACATGCTCGGTGCTATCGGAAGGACAGTTGATAACATAGATCAATTTTACACTGACTAGGTAAAGGGTTTTTTAAAAGGTAATTAACAAAGGATAGATATATTGGCATGTTCTTTTGTTGCTGTTTTTTCTGTACATTGTTTTATCCTAGTGCAACCTAGTTATTCCTGCACCAATTAACTGATAACATCATTATTTGTGAGACATGTAAACATCATCAACTGCCACCCCTAGAGCCTTGTTGGCTTATTCGGAATTCCCAGCGTGAATGCGTGACAGAAGCTGCTGATGAGGCGGGGAAGAATAAGGACCAAGTGATGCAATGCAGAAAGGTCACCGGGCTTCAGTTTTTCAATGCTTGAAATGTTGGGCGTTCTTTGTAGATAAACTGATACGTTTCCTGATAAAGAGATGGAGCACAACGATAACTGTTGATAAATGATGTTGAGGTGTTGTATCTCCTTTTATGTCGTCAAAGTTATACAGAGAGAAAAAAACTTCAAGTATATATGAAAGGGCGTTTAAGTTTTGTTAACAGCTTACAAAAACCGTTTTATCACAATCCCATTCGGTCCATTTTATATTATCTTTTTTGCAAAATATTTTAACCCACGGAAAAAGCTGAGAATTAGTTCAAGGCACCTTGGCATAAATGTACACATATAGGAAACATTTGTCTACATTTCGCTTTTGAAGACTGACACAATCGAGCATTCTCTATTTCTCGTGATTGAACAAGAGTCGAGAAGCCTCTTTAAAATAGAGGCTTCTCGACTCTTGTTTAATCGTTGTTTGATTAGGATGACAGATTTCATGGCCTTATGGTAGGCATGTTGGAGAAATGTTACATTTGACGCATAAAGGGCCAAAATAATATCCAACGCAAACCCTATTTTCATTGTATGTTCCCGTGTTCTATTTTTCAGGTGAACACTAGACTTGCCTTTGCATGTGTGCAACCGGTGGGGCAGGATACGCTAACTTTTCGCAAACACCTGGTATCATCACTATTTGATAGTGATTCATGAACGAGATTAATGAATGGGTGCTTCAAGCATAGTTAAATAAAGTAAATGTACCCTCAGTTGTTTCTGTTTCCACGCCAACCATATGGATCTGAATGGCTTAAAAGTTTCAAGATACATACCTTTAGGAATAGACAGTTGGACGTTCACCTCGAAGGGTCAGTGTTATGCAGTTTCCACCCTGTAGCGAGGGCTGTTCACAACAACTTAACCTCGGGCTGAAGGCCAAACATGCTTTGAAAACTTATTAACTTAGGACAAACAAAAATCGTAATAATCGAGACAAACCGGGATTCGTACCCACAATCATCGGTTTCTGGTGTGGCGAAGGGACGAAACTCTGTACGACTGGGATCGGGTAACAAAAGTGCAGCAATTAAATGTTAGTCATCATTGATGAATTGCCGATTATTTAAAAGTGATAAATCGCCAAATATTTGCTGAAGAATGCCAATAGGTGTAAGAATCTACATCGAAACGTCGATGTATGACATAAACTAGAACAATTATTAACGTCAAAATGTGTTCTGCATTCGCTTTATGAACGTCTCGTCCAATGGACGAGTCTAGTTTCTATCATGTTAACATTCCTTTAAACAATCATATACATATACACCGTGAAAATATTCGACAATTATTGCAACAATAACTAGTTGTTGAGTTGAATGTATGTCTTCTATTGGTTATTGGTAGATGTACTTTTGGCTTTGGTAGAAATGTAGCACATTGAGTAATTAATACTTAAAGGTATATACAATGCATAAAGATTTATGTAGTGAATGTGTCGGCTGAATTTCTCTCTGCACGTCGCTCTAAATGTTATGTCACACAGCACTTATAGAATAATTCAAATACTATCGCATCCAGCAGGCATTCAATACAATTGTACTGATAATCGTAAACTTATACATTCAGAGGGAGACGTGTCAGTAATACTAAAGAGTGTGTGCGCGAGTTATGTTTTGAACGGGAGGAAAACACAGCGAAGAAAGTGTATCGCCTTGGCGAACCCCATGAACATGGATCACGGTCATATCACCGTTAATCACCTGACCCTGTCATCGCTGCTGGGTGTAACCATGTACAGCTAGATACAGCTGCTAAAACCAATTGAGCAAACCTTTGCTGAGAAAAGTCAGTTTTGAATAACCCT